TGATGATGGTGGTGGGTGATGATGATGATGATGATGATGATGATGATGATGATGATGATGATGATGGTGATGGTGGTGATGATGGTGAGAAAGAGCGTGTTTCTGCGGAAAACGGGTCCTGCGGTTCTGGCCTCCCCCCCCCCCTCCGGAAAACCGGGGGGGGTCACTACCGGTTCGAACCCCTCCCCCCCCCCCAGTTCATCATGAAAAGGGGGGGGGGGTCACTACCGGTTCGAACCCCCCCCCCCCCTCGAAAACCGAGTGGGGGTGCGGACAGTGGTGGGGACGGTGTTGGTGGGGACAGTGGTGAGGGGACAGCGGGACAGTGGTGGGGACAGTGGTGGGAAAGTGGGACAGTAGACGGTAGTGGTGGGGACAGTGGTGGGGACAATGGTGGGAACAGGGGGGACAGTGGACAGTGGTGGGGACGGTGGTGGTGGGGACAGTGGTGTGGGCACAGTGGGAATGAGGTGGAAACAGTGGGACAGTGGAGGGTATAATGGTGGTGGGGACAGTGGTGAAGGCGGTGGCGAGGACGGCGGTGGGACAATGGGTCAGAGGCACAGTGGGGACAGTGGTGGGGACAGTGGGGACAGTGGGGACAGTGGTGGGAACAGTGGGACAGCTCTGTGGGACAGCGGCGGAGTCAGTGGGATAGTGGGGACAGTGGGGATAGTCGGGCAGTGGTTGGGGCCGTGGAGACAGTGGGGAGAGTGGAACCGTGGTGGGAACAGTGGTGGGGACAATGGGGACAGTGCGACAGTGGTGGGGGCACTGGTGGGGACACAGTGGGGACAGTGGTGGTGAGGACAGTGGTGCTGGGAACAACAGTGGAGGATGTGATGCGGACGGTGGTAGGGACCGGGAGTCGTTTGCTGGCGGTGAGTGGGGGGGTGGGGTTGGGGAGGGATTCGAAACCGAGGAGGGATCCCCCTCCGGTTTCGAGGGGGGGGGGGTTCGAACCGGTAGTGACACCCCCTGGTGTTTTCCGGATGGAGGGGGGGCGGGGGGGGGGGCATTCGAACCGGCGTGACCCCCCCCTCAGTTTTCCAGGGGGGGGGGGCGGGGGGGGGTTTGGGGGTGGGGGGGGGGTTAGGGGAGGGGGGGGGGTTGCCGGGGGAGGGGGGGGGGTCAGCAGGGGGGGGGGGGGATTTTTTTTTTCGGGGGGGGGGGGGGGGGCGGACCCCCGGAGTCCGGAGGAAAGGTTTGGCAATTTTTCCACAAGTGCAGTAAAGCGGCGGTGATCACGCTCTCTCATGTGATCACGCTCTCTCATGGTGATGATGGTGCATGATGGTGATGATGATGATGATGGTGATGATGATGATGGATGATGATGATGATAGATTGATAGATGATGATGATGATGATGATGATGATGATGACGATGATGATGATGGTGATGGTGATGGTGATGGTGATGGTGATGGTGATGGTGATGGTGATGAGGAGGAGGAGGAGGAGGAGGAGGACGAGCAGGAGGAGGAAGAAGAGGAGCAGGAGGAAGAAGGGAGGAGGAGAAATCCGAGGAGGAGGACGAGGAGGAGAGGCCAGATGAGGAGATAAAGGGCGGGGGGGAGCTTTCGTGGGGGCCAGCCACTACTGTCGGGTGGGGCGAAGGGGGGGGATTGGGAAAGGGGGGGTTACGAAATTAGCTGCATGCAGCTGGTTTCGGCCCCACCGATGGGCCAATTCCTCGATACATGGCCGCTCCCGGCGCCGGGAGGCGCCGGGAAAATCAGCTACGTGAGCTGATTCTCAAACCCCCCCTTTGCTATCCCCCCCTTTCGCCCGACCCGATACTGGTGCGTGAGAGCGCAATGGGGGGGTGGCCACTGCGACTCAGAGCTGAAGCCCGGAAGCTCTCCTGGGGCGCCGAACCAGCGCGGCCTGAACGTGGGGCCCTGCGCCGAGGCCGCGGGTGACGCGAATGACGCAGCTTCCCTTCGTTGGCGGGTGGGCAAGATGCTGTCGGGGGGTTCTCTTCCCCGCCGAATGATGATCTCCTCGCGACCGTGCGCGACAGAGCATCTGTGAGCACGGCGTCGTTTGTTTCCTGCTCGCCATTTCCTCCTTCGTCTCGTCGCGTCTGTAGGGAGACTGCACCGTGCGCTGTACACGCGTATGGACTCCACGTGCAGCTCCAGCGTCAGCGCCCGCGACGCGGCCCGGCGAGAGCCATCCCGGCAATTCTGGGCTGGTGGGATTTTGTCGGGGTTTTGGTCTTGTCTCTCCAAGTGAGTCGTGGTTTCTAGACAACCTGGTACGACAGAGGAACTTTGAGCACATCTGTAAGAGGATTGCAAGATGCATCGTTTTTTTGTCAAGAGCGTTGCTCGCCATCCCCTCCTCCATCTCGTCATGTTTGTACGAGGATCGCGCCGTGTGGGGAAATGCATTTTGAATGCGCGCGCGCATCTTCAGCGTCGGCGCCCGCGACGCCGCCCGCCAAATAGCTTCCCATTTTTGCTCGCCGTGCCGGATAATGTTGGGGCGGGGGGGAGGGACGTTATTTCGGCGAATAATGATCCTTGGATCCTTGGGATACCCTGCGAGATGGAGGAGTTCTGAGCGCAGTTGTAAGAGGATTGCGCTATACATCGCATTTGTCGCCGAGGCCGGTTCTCACAGTCAGCCGCGTATTTGTGCAACGGGATTGCAACATGGATCGCATTCGTCGCCGAGGCCGGTTCTCACAGTCAATCGCGTGATATGTCTCTTTGTTGGCAAGGGAGTTGCCGCACTGGCAGCTTCCTCGTCGGCGCCCGCGTCGCCGACGACGAAGCTGTAAATATAAATTGTGGGTGGCCCGCGAGGGGCTTGAATTTTAACAGTCTTTCCCAGGATGCTGCTTTCACGATACCGCTTCTGCGCGCCAAGTTTCTGAACCAAGGTTTTCTACGAGCACCTGTCGAGGGCTCTGCACAGGCCCTGGCTGGTGCGCGGCTGCCGCCAGCTTCCCATCAAGCGTTGGGGGGGGGCCAGCAAAGCTCAGAGATCTGCCCGGCCGAGATGGCGGTGGTGGTGGCGGCCGCGGAAGAAGCCGACTTCCCGACGGCCACCGCGAATCCACGAAGTTGGTGAGGACGTGGCTGGCCTCCCAACTGACAAAGGAGGAGGATGAGGAGGAGGAGGAAGATGATGCTGACGACGACGATGATGATGAGTTGGAGGAGGGAGGAGGAGGAGGAGGAGGAGGAGGAGGAGGAGGAGGAGGAGGAGGAGGAGGAGGAGGAGGAGGAGGAGAGCCCCGGCCCGCGCGCCGAGCAGCATCTCCTCGTCGCCCCTCGGCCTCGCCAGGGCCTGCTCGTCTGCCTCTGCTCTTCGCCGTCGCCGCCAAACGCTGCCGCGTGGCCTCCCGGCCGTGCACATCGAGCCCTCGGCGACCGCTCCGGGGCGCTCTGGGCACCCCCGGCACGCCCTCGGCGAGGGGCGCAGCTGCTGGATGGCAGGAGGAGGAGGAGGAGGAGGAGGAGGAGGAGGAGGAGGAGGAGGAGGAGGGGGAGGAGGTGGAGGAGGAGGAGGAGGAGGAGGAGGAGGAGGAGGAGGAGGAGGAGGAGGAGGAGCGTCCTGTGGCGCGAACCAGCGAGCGTCTTCGGAAGCTGGTAGCCTCGGTCGCCCAAATCTGTGGCAGCCTCCCTCCCAGAAGCGTTGGCCCCTCGTCCGCTTTCGAGTCTACGTTGGGGGCAATACATCAGGCAGAGCATCGCCCTTAGATGAGCAAGCCATGGCACTGAAGCACACTGCCCCCCCAGCGTTCCATCCATCCATCCATCCATCCATCCATCCATCCATCCATCCATCCATCCATCCATCCATCCACCTCCAGGAGGGGGAAGGGGCGGCACTACGCGTACGAGCCCGGCGTGCGTTTTGTTGCCGCGGAGTCCGTGCCAGGCTGTCGCCCCGCTGTTTGACCTTGGTCTATCGGCGACATATCGTCGATTCCAGGAGGTGGAGGAGGAGGAGGAGGAGGAGGAGGAGGAGGAGGAGGAGGAGGAGGAGGAGGAGGAGATGGAGGTCTATCGGCGATATGTCGTCGATTCCAGCTCAGTGCTCCCCCCCTGACCTGGTCCCCCCGAGTGAACCTCACCGTGCTCGGGCCTCCGGCGGCCGCTCGGGCCGGGCATCCCCAGAGTGCCCCTCGGCGAGGCTCGGCTACGGGAAGGCATCCCGAGGCTGTAAGACCGCCGAGAGCACACGGAAATTCCTGCGAGCGCAGGCGAGCACGGCCGATTCAAATCGACTGTGGCCCTCGACGTTCCTCCTCGAGGTAAGGCCGCCGAGAGCACACGAAAGCTCCCGCAAACGCAGGCGAGAATGCCCGATTCAAGCTCAAGGGTTGCCCTCGACGTTCCTCCTCCAGAGGAGGAGGGGGTTGCGGCCACCGCGGGGCCTCTGCAGGCTCACTGGACAGCTGCCGCGAGCCGGAGAAAACGTCGGACAGCCTCGAGCCTCGAATCGCCCTGTCGTCTCCTGCCACGAGCAAGTGTACGTGGGGCCCGCTTGCGGCCAGCCACACTCCAGCACCCTGAGCGGGAACGTCAGTAGAGGCCTCCCAGATGGGGTTCGCGCAGCATCGCCGATGCATCGCTGGCGATGGCGATGCATCGGCGACGTGGGCGTGCGCGCCAAGGGCGGCGCCGGAGACGCCGCCAGGGGGGACCCAGCGCGGATCCAAAAAATCCGCGCGGAGAAAACGCCGTAAACATGTAAATTTGTGGCGCTCCGCGCGGATTTTTTGGATCCGCGCTGGGCCCCCCCTGGCGGCGTCTCCGGCGCCGCCATTGGCGCGCAAGCCCACGTCGCCGATGTATCGCCATCGCCAGCGATGCATCGGCGATGCTGCGCGAACCCCATCTGGGAGGTCTCTACTGACGTTCCCGCTCAGGGTGCTGGAGTGTGGCTGGCCGCAAGCGGGCCCCACGTACTTGCTCGTGGAACGTCGAGCGCACTTGCTCGTTGAGCGCTACCTTTCTCACCTCACGTACTTGCTGGCGGAACGTTGTCGGTAGCCATTTTGACTCAACGGCGCGATGACGGCCGACAGCGGGAGCACGTCGTACCAGTGCAGCCCCTCTGAGCTGGAGTTCGGGCATTGCAATTCGGTGATCAGTCCCGTCTCCTCGGCCAGGAGCGTCCGGGAGGTGTGTTGGAAACCCTCCGAGATGCTGGCAACGGCCGCGACCAAGCCTGCCATGTCGACCAAGAGCGCGCGCAAGGCGTGGTGGAGGTCTCCCAAGTTACTTGCGACGGCCCTGGCCATGACGCTCGTCATGGGCCTCGGGTCGTGGCGCTTCTCCAACGACGAGCAGGCGAGCCAGGACCCAAGCAGTGGCGAAGCGTCCTGGTTCGCCTATAGCCCCACCAAAGAAAGTTCTAAGAACCTTTTGTGGTTTCCACGGAATGTTCTTGGAACATTTCTGGCGGAGTCTATCTTGTTTGAACACATCGGGCTTATGTTCTAAGAACATTGTTTTTGTTCTTAGAACATTTCTGGGTTCTAAGAACATTTCGTGGTATGACTATAGGAATGCCGGGACGGTCGATCCCTGCTCAAAGGACCAATTCCGCGCGGCGGTCCAGGGCTTGGCCGTGACCTACGCCGAGGAGCTCGCACGCCAGGTCCGGACCTCGATCAGCTCGACGCACGCCATTGCGGCCATGCTGCAAGTGGACGACGCCAACTTCACGCAGAACGGCTTCGAGACGATCGCGGCGATGCTGATCGAGACGTACGGGGGCATCTCCAACTTACAGCTCGCGCCCTTTGGCAAGGTCACCGCCATCGTGCCCCTCGTCGACGCCACGCAGGACAACCGCGCAGTGCTGGGCCACAACCTCCTCGTGGACCCGGACCGGCGTCTCGGGGCCCTGCAGACCATCCAAAGCCGCCAGACCCTCGTGCTCGGTCCGCTCCAGCTGAAGCAGGGCGGCGCGGGGATCATTGTCCGGCACCCCGTGTTCACGCGTTTTGCGCCCGAGTTCGTCCCCAGCGAGCCGTTTCTGGCGGGCGGCGAGGTGTACACCGTGGACTGCTCGACCCCGGCGCTCCAGCGCGAGAACTGCTACTTCCCCGGCCCCGACGTGGAGGTGGCGGGCGTGCAGGAGCCGACCTACTTCTTCGCCTTTGCCACGATGATCTCCTTCGTCCCAACGCTGCTCGGCCCCGTCCAGCTCGAGCGCCTCGCTGACGGCGGACACAACGTTGAGGGCACGACCCGCTTCGCCTACCAGCTCCAGATGCGGGTGCCGCACCCGTCGCTGGAGGACGTGCAGGGCGTATTCGCGCACTCGCCCGACCACCCCCCAGGCGCGGTGCTGCCGGACCCCGTCGAGGCGGCGGTGTCGTTGCCCGAGGTTGGGCTCGAGTGGTCTCTGCGTGTGGCGCCAGCGGAGGGCTGGCCGGCCGTCAGCGCTGAGTTCTGGACGCAGCTGGCGCTGCTCGTGTTGCTGACCTGCATCACCGGGCTTGTGCTCGGCGGCCTCATCATCGGGAATGTGCGGGAGACGTTGAAGCGCGCAGCGGAGCTCGAGGTCTACCGCGACCGTAAGCTCCGCTCCCAGGTCGCGGCAGCGACGAGCGACACCATGCGGAGCCGGTTCCCAATGTGCGTCATGCAGGTGAGCGAGTTCAAGCGGGTCGGCCGGCTCTTGTCGCACGAGGAGGCCCGAGACCAGGGTTCGCTGGTCTTTCTCGATACCACTGCCAAGATGGAGAGCCTCAAGCAGGAGGGCGATATCGCCTTCTTCAGCCACCAGTGGACGAGCTTCGTCGATCCGGACCCGAGCGGGAAGCACTACGCGGCCATGGTCTCCGCGCTCGACGCGTTGGCCGCCACGGGATGGCCCTGCACCCACGTGTGGGTGGACTACCACTCGATCCCGCAGGCCAACCGCGACCAGCAGCAGAACGCCATCAACTCGCTCTCGCTCTACGTCGCCTGCAGCCGCATCTTCGTCGCCGTTACGCCGACGTGCACGCACCAGGAGCTGGGGGAGACGTTGGACACGGCGAGCTACCGCCGCCGCGGCTGGTGCCGCGTCGAGCAGCTTAGCTTCCTGGCGACAAACACTCAGTCGCTGAGCGCCTTCGTCTACGATGGGTGCGGGCTGCAGCCGCTCTGGGCCTCGACGGAGGACCACGCCATGTCTCTCGGTATCTTTGAGGGCGACTTCACTTGCTGCCGCCGCAAGCACTGCAACGGCCTGCGGTGCGACAAGCAGCGGCTCGTAAACGTGATGCTGGCCATGTACTGGGAGCTGCTCCACGCCCAGGCCACCTCACCAGACGCATCGGCCCTGGTTGCGCTGCTCGCCGACGAGCCGCGCTTCTTCCCGGTCAACGCGCAGCAGCTCCGGCTGGCGGCCGACGGGTCGCTCTGGGAGGCCGAGGTCGAGCTTTTTGGGGATTTGCTGCCAGTGTTGCACGAGCTCTTCGAGCACCCCGAGCTCCTTCCCAACCGAGGCCTGGAGGAGACGGCGGGCGCTGAGACAGAACCCGTGGAGCCTGAGGTGTGTGGCGACTTGGAGATGTTGTGAGTGAGCTTTCTCCTCCTCCTCCACCTCCTCCTCCTCCTCCTCCATACTCCCTCTCTTGTGCTCGCACCACTTTCTCCTTCGCGCACTCAGGCCAAGGCTCGACAGGGGCGACGGCGGCTCCACCTCGACCCCAGACCTCAGATCTCGCTCATTTCTCATACCGCGACGCTTCGACGCCGCGCATCGCGCCACATTTTTACCTCGACGACGCCGGACTCATCTGCCTCTCAGACCGCGGCAGACGGCGCGACTCCTGCTCAAGAAGCAGCGCGGGGTTCGTCGGCATAGGTTCCCTGTCGCCTTCTGGTCCGTTTATCCAATCGGGGGTGGACGGACCTCCTACCCTGACACGTCGATTCGCGAATTGTCCGTGTTTGGTTCTCGAGAGGGCGCCGCGGCCGTCCTTTTCCAGGCTTGCGCCCGCCAGGTTTGGGCCCGACGTCGGTTTCACTAAGCCACGTTTTGCTAGATCAGGAGCGACAAAAGGACGTACATGTACATGAATCCGCGCTGGTTTCGAGAGTACGCATTGCGCGAATGTTCGTATCACGCGGCCGGTCTCGCGGATCGAGGGGCCGTGTTCATGTACATAGCTGGGCGCGTACGTCCTTTGTGGGCTCCCTACTAGAGGGGGGGCTTTGTCCATCCCCGATCGAAAGGTTGGCAGCGGGGGCCAGACGCTGCAGGGGTGGGGGGGGGGGCGTGATGCCGTGGTCGGCGCGGCGTGCTCCCCCAGCGAGCGGGCAGGTGGAGGGCGGCCGCGGAGGGTGCGGCGGGCGGGGCTCGAGGGAGGGGGGGGGGGCGGAGGAGGAGGAGGAGGAGGAGGAGGAGAGGAGGAGGAGGAGGAGGAGGAGGAGGAGGAGGCGGCTCGCCGCCGAGCACTTCCTCCCTCTTGCCCCCGCCCGCGGGGAAGAGACCACTCTCCAGGCCCGACTCAGCGGCCGGGCGGGCGGACGGTGGCCTCGGCGGTGGCAGGTGGACGGTGGCCGCGGAGGGGGGGGGGGCTGGGGGACGGGGGGTCGTGGGCGGGGGAGAGGCTGGGAGGCCAGCGACTCCTCGGGAGGGTTTCTGCCACGAGCGCTGGGTCGTGCTCCACTCTGGCCCCGTTCGCGCGCGTCGCTGGCGCGTGCTCGTCGATGTCATCTCTACAGCCCCCGCCCGCCGCCTCCGTCATCCCATTCGTCTTGAGTCCAACCCTGCCCACACCAACGCAAGGCGCACACTACAGGCAATGGGCCTCGTTTCAAGCCCGCTACAAACAGGTTGCATTGCAAGAGTGTCACCTTTACCAGTTTCGCCAGTAGGTGCAGTCATTGCCAGTCCCAGCAGCGCAGTATTTTCGCTCGCGTAGCGAAGCATCTTTAATCTTATAAAGGGAATATGTTCAGGCTGAACTATTTGCAGGCGGAACGTGCGCCAGCCGTTTTTGATGCCCCGCACTCATGCCACGCAGGTTTTGCGTAAATGACGTTCCATCTGCCTTGTTCTCCTTTCTCCTGCTCCCCCTCCTCCTCCTCCTCCTCCTCCTGCTCCTCCTGCTCCTCCTGCTCTTCTCTCCTCTCCTTTGCCTCCTGCGACTCCTGCCAGCGTGACAGCGGGCCAGCCAATTAGTTAGTTTGACAGTGTGCCTATTATGTCTTAAGGCATTTGGGCATTGCGGCTCCTGCGAGTAGCTCTCACACCATATTTGAAGAGACATGAGATGTTGCCATCTGCCCCCAGCGTCTCCTGCCAATCCGCGTGCATCCAGCGCGTGCTCCGCCAGCCGGCGTGACAGCGCGCGCATGATTTATCAGCGGATTTGGTCATTGCGGCTACCGCATGTAGCTCTCCCAGCCGTTGCACGTGGAGCGTTGTCTTCCTGTCCGCCGAGCAGAGGAGGTCTTGTGGAGGAGTTGTCCTTCCGCGTTGCCTCCGTCGGGGGGGGGGCAGGGGGGCAGGCCACAGGCGGAGCGCGGGCCCCACAGGCTCGCGACTTGCGGCTTCCGTGCGGGGGGGGGATGGTGGCTCGGCGAGGCATCGGCGATGCGGCGCGGTCCTCCGACCCCACCTGCTCGAACCCCACCTGGGTGCCACCCCCCCCTTACCCAGACCCCCGACGTCATGATTTTTCCATGACGTCGATTCCTCCTCCACCTCCTCCCTCCTCTCCCCTCCTCCCCCCTGGAGGCGCCCGCTGCGGCCGCGGCAACTTGTTAGTTTCTATTTCTGCCCACGACGGCCTCTGTGCTTTGCTTTGCGATGTCCACAAGTCTCGACCCGTTGCCCAGGACTGGTGTTTCAGCCTGAGTCTTTTTTGTTGTGTTTGAGGGTCCCGAGGGCCGGTAAGGAACCCCAGAGGCCAGGGACTGCGCATAACCTACCGTCGTGATTGCTTTTTGTGACCAGAGGGGGTCTGTGTACGTTCCCCGCGTCAGGGTGGGGGGATTCGGTAGCAAGTCATGGGAGCCTGGTTTAATTCCGCCTTTGGCGTCGATTATCGTCGATTGGCGTCTGGGGGTCGATGAGGTAGCGCCGATTTAGCGTCGATCCAGCGTCGATCTAGCGTCGATCTAAGCGTCGTTTCGCATTCGTCGCCGTTGCCGGTTCTCACAGTCAGTCGCGTACATGTGCAACGGGATTGCAACATAGATCGCATTCGTCGCCGAGGCCGGTTCTCACAGTTAGACGCGTGGTGTTTCTTTGTTTGCAAGGGAGTTGCAACGCAGGCCAGTGCATTTACAATCCACACTGGCAGCTTCGTCGTCGGCGCCCGCGTCGCCGACGACGAAGCTGTAAATGTAGATTGTGGGTGGCCCGCGCACGGCTTGAATTTCAACAGTCTCAGGATGCAGCTTTCAGGATAAAGCTTCTGCGCGCCAAGTTTCTGAACCAAGGTTTTCCATGAGAGCGCTGGTGGCGGGCGCCGCGGGAAAAAACAATTTGTTTCCCTCGAGTGGTGTAACACCAATCCGCGAATAAGACCGCCGGAAAAAATAATCACGCCTCATTGAATGGGGGGTTCTAAAGACAGCTCCCGGTTAGTGGAAAGTTGGCATGCTTCTCCCTGGCAGGAAGCCTGCGGCCAGTGGTGCTTCGTTGTCGCCCTGCAGAGCCAGCGATCGCACCCTCGTTGCGAACGGCCGTGGCGATCCGCCCGTGAACGCATGTGGTCGGGCTGACATTTAAGCAGTGGCGAAGCGTCCCGGCTTGCCTATAGGCCCACCAGTTTCTAACAACTTCTTGTGGTTTGCGCGAGATGTTGTTCGGACAATATTGGCTGATACTGACCTGGTTGAGGCATAGGGTTTATTTTATAAGAGCATTGTTTTCGTCAGTAGGACATGTTGGTTTCGTGGTTAGCCTATAGGAATGTCGGGACGCTCGGTCCAAATCCTCCAGGATCCTCTGGATTCTTCCAGAACCTCCAGATTCTTCCAGGAATCTGGACTGATCTGGACGAATCCGCCGGAGCGCGGGACCAAGTCTAATCTGGAGGAGTTTGGAAAAATTTCGAGGAGTCTAGAGGAATCGCAAAGAATCTGGGGGAATCTGGAGGAATCTAAAAGAATCTGGAGCGATCTGGACGAATCCGCCGGAGCGCAGAACCAAGACTAATCTGGAGGAGTCTGGGAAAATAGTGAAAAATCTGAAGGATTGTGGAGGAATCGGGGGGAATCTGGAGGAATCTGAAGGAACCTGTCTTGAGTTGGACTGATCTGCCAGAGCGCGGAGCCAGGACTAATCTGGAGGAATCTGGAAGAGTTTGGAGGATTCTGAAGGAATCAGGAGGAATTCGGATGAATGTGAAGGAATCTGAAAGGGTTTAATTTTAAGTCGGGCCTGTCCTTCTACAGGAGGAATATTCAAAAATAGTCTTAGTTTTTTTGGTGTGTGTATGTATATATATATATATATATATATATATATATATATATATATATCGGAGGTGAGGGGGTGAGATCGAAGTGGAACGGAGAGCCCCCCTACGGGAAATCGATTTCGGTTTCGTGTTCGAGCGTGCCGTGCGTGCGGGCGAGGCGAAGCTGCGTGGGCGGGCGAGAGAAAGTCTCCTGTGGCTGAGGCGCGGCCGGACCAAATGATTCTCCGCCGGGCGGCCGGTGGCGCGCGGTGTCCCGCCGGTGTCCCGCTGGTGTCCCGTCGGTTCTCCTGTGGCTGAGGCGCGGCCGGACCAAATGTTTCCCTTCCGGGCGGCCGGTGGCCGGGCGGCCCCCGGCGGTTTTTTTTTTTTTTTTTTGTCCCGCCGGTGTCCCGCTGGTGTCCCGTCGGTTCTCCTGTGGCTGAGGCGCGGCCGGACCAAATGTTTCCCTTCCGGGCGGCCGGTGGCGCGCGGTGTCCCGCCGGTGTCCCGCTGGTGTCCCGTCGGTGTCCCGTCGGTGTCCCGATGATGATGTGGATGATTATGATGATGATGGTGATGCTGATGATGGTGATGATGGCGATGATGATGATGTTGGTGTTGTTGATGATGATGATGACGTCGATTGTGAGATCGATTGTGATAGCGATAGTGAGACCGAATGTGAGATCGATTGTGAGATCGATAGTGAGATCGACTGTGAGATCGATAAGGAGATCGATTGTGAGATCGATAGTGAGACCGAATGTGAAAACGAATGTGAGATCGATAGTGAGATCGATTGTGAGACCGAATGTGAGACCGAATGTGAGATCGACTGTGAGATCGATTGTGAGATCGATTGTGAGATCGACAGTGAGACCGAATGTGAGACCGAATGTGAGATCGATTGTGAGGTCGATTGTGAGATCGATAGTGAGATCGATAGCGAGATCGATAGTGATATCGATAATGATATCGAATGTGAGATCGATAGCGAGATGGATTGAGTGAGACGTTGGTTCCCCCTCCCCCCTCACCTCCTTCTCACCCGCAGGGTGGTCGTATAGGTATTTATATATACTAGCACCATCGCGCGCGCTTCGCGCGCGCTCAGGTTCTAGTTGAGGTCACCGCTCAGGTGCGATGCCCGCGACACGGAACGTGCCCCACTGAGAGTTCCACGTACGGCACCACAGGAAGGATTCGCATAGCGTCCTCCCGCATAGAACGGCGCACATCTTAAACGAATCTTGCCCCACAGGGTGCTGAAAAGTCGGCCCCAGAGACAAGGGTCGCTGCCGCTCCACCCATTGACAGAGACAAAGAAAACCTGTGCCAATCAGGCGGCGCCCCAGGAACGGTCCCAGGTTTTTTGACCAGAGGCCGCATGTAGACGTACATGAAGGTTTTGGGGAAGCCTCTCAGAAGCCCGTTGGGGCCCTCTTGGGGATCTCCTGGGGGCTTCCTGGGAACCTCGGGGGGCCTCTTGGAAGCCTCTTGGGGGGCCCTCTGGAGGCCCTTGGGGGCCTGCCGCGGGCGTCTTGGGGGCCTCTTTGGGCCTCTTGGGGGTCTCTTAGGGGCCTCTTGGGGGCCTCCTGGGGCCGGGGGGCTGGAAGGTTCAGTTGGGTGTCCCGTCTTGGGCCCCTCTTGGGGCACTTCGGGGACGCGTTTAGGCCGTCCTGGGCGCCTCTTGGACTGTCCTTGGCCCCTCTGGGGCCGCCTTGGGGCTCTCTTGTGGGCTTCGTGGGCCGTCTTGGGGCGGTCTATGGAGAGTCTGAGGTCGTAAAGGACGGTACGAAGGCCAAAAAAGTCGAGTATGGTAAAAATGTATGTTTTACGAGGGAACGGGGCTATTTTTGCTTCCCGCGGCCGTCTGGGGGGATCTCTTGGACGGGTCTTCGAGCGTCTGGGAGGCGTCTGGGGCGGTTCGAGACTCCTCTTGAGCCGCCGGAGACCGCTGGGGGTCGCCTGGATGGCCGTCTGGGCGCTCCGGGGGCCGGCCTGGGGCCCGCCGGGGAGCGGGCTGGGCCCAACGTCCCCCCACTTGCGGTCGAGGCTGCGGCCCCGGGGCCCCCGGGCCCGGTGCAGCGTTATATGTGTATATATATATATATATATATATATATATAGTTCGTTGAAAATCCCCCTGTAGGGGGACAAACCCGACTTCATGTAATTCCAAAAAAGGATCCTGGAGCAATGTGGAGGAGAAGTCGAAGAAATCCCAGCCAGGCGGGCCAATCCATGAGTGCCCGCTTGGCCCGGAAGCATCCGAAGCCCGACGTCTCCGAGCGACCGACCCCGCGGACGGGCGACGCTTCGGCGCGGCCCTCGAA